TCTTTCCGTCGGATAATAGTTTTCTCATAAGCTTTCTATGGCCATAAGTGTTTTTTTTTTTAATTTTAAATAATCAAAGCAAACCTTTCAGTGTAAGTGTCTTAGAAAACGTACCGAAAGTCCAAGGGATTTGTTTATCACTACCAATCCTCCAACAGACAACCCGATGGGTTCTCCACGAAGATGCATCAGAAACTGAACAGCTTAAACGATAGGAATAAATATTACTACAGGTATGTAATTCACACTCCATTTCTCCCTCTAAACTGTCTATCAGTAGCTCTACATGTGTGTAATATCCATCGGCTTAGTTAGAATGCATATACTGCTAATTGTATTGACCAGCAGGTAGGAGGTAGGTAGGTAGGTAGGTAGGTAGGTAGGTAGGTAGGTGTTCTTTATTTATCCATGCCATGGTATCAATTCACATAACATGCTCTTCCGCTTTTCCTTTAGTGTCCTTGTCACGCTCTAACATGTTACGAAAACCGTGCGTTGTCACATTTCTTCCCCTGCGTGCATGCTTGTTAATTATTCTCGTATTTTGATTGGTTCTTACTCACCATATATTTGAGGACAGACGTACATATGACGTCAGTAACATTTTTATTTTGTTTTCTTTACAATATAACACCGACGAATTCTAGTTTACCGTGCGTTCGTTCAGTAATAGAGAACAGAAGACTAGTTTCAATATGTAGTAAGAACATCAGTGACACACTCGCCTAACGGCTCGTTTGCCACTTTTCTGTTCTTACCATATTTGGACGTCATAAAGCCTGGTTCGCCCTAGCCATAGTGACACCACGGCATATAAAAAATCACGGTAAACATCGACACAAAGACAAAAGGAAAGGATGAGTATTTTTCCCAATGTCGTTATGTTCATATGTTTATGGTTCTATGTCATTATTTCAGAATGTTCACACGGCAAACATCACGACTCAACGTTCCTCTATTGCCGTTATGTTTATTGTGTTTATTATTCATTTTTATGTTTCTTTTCTTTTTTCTAGAAACTCAAAGACAAGCAAACTTACTTCCAGATGCTCTTTACAGTCTGACACAGTTATTTTGTGCAGAATGTCATAGAAGCTGTGAATCTAGAGAGAGGAAAATAAACTTTATTGATATATAGATTAACAGTATTTTTGTGATCCATTGCCAAGATCTCAGAGTGTGAAGCAATATTTATCAGCAGAGCTAGGGACATCTTTCATGCTTACACGCAATAGAGTATGGTGAGAGTGGCGCGTTAATTTTTTGGAACTTTTAATCTTCCGGTGGTTTCTCACTAGAGAATTCTCCAAATCCAAAGGGTGGTGGTATATTGCATTTCGACGGCAGTGTTGTGTTAGGAATATGAGACAAAATTCCCGAAAATATTAAAAATCATATTCAGGAACCTTTTTTAATTGTCATTTCCAAAGGATGACAATTTTGTTTTTTTCAGGATGCGAAAGTGTCTAAGATTATTGGACATTGAATGCAGTGAAGACTTTTTGAAACACGAAATGGGATTTAAGAAAACTGTACATCAAAAGCCTCAACATAAATAACATATGTCCAAAAAGTAACGTGCTATTTATCTAAACATTGAGTGATATCTTACCTTTTCGTTGACTCGCACTACAGATATCGTAATAAAGACTATTTTTACAGTCACTGTAATACACCAATAAAAGACAGTGGCAACAAATGTGATGTCCTCATTGCTTGAAGCTGGGGGTTTTACCAGCTGGTAAAAGTTGATGCATATCAAGGGAACGTCCGAACCAACGGCTGCCAACATGAGAGGTGAAAATACTTTGTCGGCGAGAGCAACCGTTTCGCAAAGTTTACTATGTTCTTTGCGTAATGATTCAATCCTGCGAACATCAGGGCTACCTGCTGTTATTTTATTCTCCAAATTCTCAAATAGACCGACCAGCAATTTGCATGAGACATAAAACAGTGTATATGGTAGAGCCCATGCAAAAGCATCAAAAGCACAAAATATCAAGTGACTCAAGCGATATACCAATAAACCATTCCATGGTCGAAAACGGCCTATCGAGCTATTTCGGTAAAGATCTAGTAGCGTAAGGCAAACAGTGTTGAAGAGTGCAAAGTTACACGCCAAGGCTAGTAATGAATACACTTTATACATATTACATGTATTTATCCCTCCATCAGATGTTGTTGCGAGTAAGTTACCAAGAAACTGCCCAAGACGAGATGGCTTTTTCTGACCTTTGGGTAAAATGAAAAGACAGATTGTGTTAACTATTGCAGACTGCAGATACCAAATGCTAAAGGTCAATAAGAAGAAAAACGTGTTCATCTGAGCTACGCCTTCAAAGAATAGACTCGTCACAGCCTGCACGACGATAAACCATTGACCTAGAAGTACCAACCCACAGTAAAAACGAGAAAAGACGCTCAAATCTTCTTGTAAAATCTCGTCCATTGTAACATCCCCATAGAACTCTCCAGTTAGTTTCATTAACCGTAAAATAGGACGAAACCTTTCTGCGGCGTAGATCGTCATTTCCTGAATCTTGCGTACTTTCATTTGCCACGGAAATTTGTGAGTGCAAGTCTTCTAACTGTGAGCAGTGTACTTGCGTCATTGTTTGTTACAATAAATCTACTCAGTCCGTGCAAGAGACCATAACAGGTAGTTATTTTTTCGTAGAACTGTGTGACCAGCTGCGCTGTTGAGGCTGGTTTTTCTTGCCCATAAGCGTAAGTAACATACGGAGACGGAGTAAGATATTGCTAGGTAGCGCCTTTTGCTGTAAAATATTCCAAACAAAACGCGATGATTCATCATCTTCCTGATTCTGCCTGTGTTGTTAATACTTACGCGCTAGTTAAAACTAGATTTTAAACACTAGATAGAAACGATCTATCAGTATAGTACCCTGAATTCCTATTTTTGAGCTTTCTTATAAATTAATATAAAGGGTGTTTTAGGTTGGACCTGAAGTAAACTTAATTGTTGTTTTGATGAAATTTATTTTCCTAAACACAGCTGAAAAACTAAAAGCGATTGAAGGTGGCAGTGGCGAATTACATTATTAGTCATTTGCATTGTTATGTGATATGGGTTCGGCGAACCAGAGCTTGCCAGTAAAAAATAGAAATGATCGGAAGTAAGTAAAAGTGTTATTTTATGGCGTTATTCATATATCGATGTTATCTGAGAGGATATATCATTACCTTATCTTTTAATAATTTCATCCCATGCGAATTATTCCACCTTAAGTAGATTTTAGGGTTTCGTTTAATTTATGGTACCTCCTGCTGATAAAAAAGTAATGTCATTTTACAATGTTTTTTAAATTAGTTTTTATTTCTACTAAACGCTGATACCTCGGTCGGACTTTGAACCTGCTTTGCAGTTTTCATTGGAATCTGTCGACTGTTTCATGTACAGAAAAGACAAGCGCATCTCCTTTTTGTCATTCAGGCAAACGTTTTACTCAACTGACTTCATTTCGCATTTTGCCTTGTCCCGTGGTAGCGGGTTGATATGTTACATTTTTATTATCAACATATATAATTTTTTAACTTGCAATGTAGTTATGATTATTTATGAATCAAATCATTGCGCCTATACACCAAACGTTAACATAAAAAGGAACCACATTTATGTAATTCAAAAACGCCGTATCAAATCAGTTAAAATTCCACACAACTAAAAAAAATTGATGTAAAAAGGACTGAAGTATTAAAAATTCCGCATTGTTATGTTATAATGATTATATGGCTTCCCAGTCTAAATTGCGGATTTTATTTCATCACAGTAGCTTCCTCAGCCGGGTCTGGTTTTCTTTTGACTTTAAACTTACTAATATTTCAATTATGTTTAGACATTACTACTTGTAAATTGAGCATCAAAGGAAAGCAGAATATTAAATGTGCTTAAAGTAAGATTTCGTTTGGCTCTTTATTAGTTAACTAATGCGTTATTCAAAATTTGCAAAACGCAAAATGCAAACAGGTATTCATTTAATTCTTGGGCCTATGTGGTATGTGTTATATGACAAACACTAGGACATTGAAAACTTGCTGTAGCATCTTGAGTGGGTGTAAAATATTTCTGTTTCTTCGTCCTGTTACGTGAATAAATAAAGAGTCAGAATTTTAAAAAACAAAATGCTTTCTACTTTGTTTACTCAGACGAAGGAAAATATGCAAACGAGGACCGATTTATAGCGACCCACGGACACAACTTTTACAACAATGTCAACTTATCACAATGCCTCTAACTAGGAAATTTCAACACCCTTACTTCGTCCCCACGTTGCACGAGGCGGATAGGTTTTGGGTTCGATGAACTTGTGTTTTCTTCCCATTTTTTGAGAGCTATACAAAAATCCTGTCGATTTCCAAAACGCCTTTTGCACAAGCAGAAAATATTTACCATGTGCTTTCTGAATAATCTACTCTGTAGAGCGTAAACAATAGGATTGGCACATGAATTTACCAATATTAAAACTAAAAAAACCTTATTTATAGTATACATGACATCTTCTTCCGAAGCAAAGTACCAAACAACATAAAGAATTAAGTTAGGGATCCAGCAGATCCCGTATATAGCTGTTACTGTCATGAGCATCTTGGTGACTTTCTTTCTGGATTTGATCATGGGTACTGATAAATGTTGTCTAGGTACAACCTCTCTCCTTATGTGCATCACCACCTTCCCGTAGAAAAATGTCATGAGGCTGAACGGAACTATTCCAATTAAGATCAACCAGGCAAAATTATTACCTAGTGCAAATTTTACACTTGGCCAATGGCTCTCACAGAATCCACGCTCGCTGTTAAGATGTCTTACGCAAAATAATGGAACGTTGAATATTATCGCAGCAGTCCAGCAAAAGACGACCACGATCCTCAATTTTCGATGATTAAAAGTAGCTAGCCTTCCGAATTGGGCTGTAATCGCTGCAAACCGCTCGTATGCCATCACTACCAAGCTTATCGCCGAAGCTACACCTCCAACCCAGGTAAATGTATCCGACGTTATTGTTTTACATAATATTTCTCCTACCAATCCACGCGGATGATGGTAAAGTCCTTCGAGGATATGCCTTGGCGTGAATGAAATCACAATCATCATATCGGCAATGGCAAGATTCATAAGCAGATAGTTCACTGGGGTCTGTAAAACTTTGTTCCTCAGGATAGCAAGACAGACCAAAACATTTCCAACCAACGTTGCTGCTACTAACACTGAGTGAATAGCCTTGGTAA